AGTTTGTGCCGGGAGATTGCGGTATTAGTTTGTGCCGACAGATTTCAGTTATCAGTTACGTGACTTATGTCGCGAGATCAGACCGGTATCAAATATCAGTTTCAGTTTCAGTTTCAGTTCAGTTATATATGCTCAATTCATGATATTTTTATTATTTACGATGTTTACATTAGTATGAGTTTCTGCGGAGCACAAGTGTTTTAGTGCTCACGCCCCCACGCATTTCATGTTTTTCAGGTCGCAGGGTTGGGGACGAGGAGTGAGCGGGCGAGCTGTTCAGGATATGTGGAGATTTATGTATATGTTTTGCCACGCAGTTATTTCCGCTAAAACTTTCAGTACATATTTTCAGTTTTTGTTCCGACATTAGTTGGATAAGACATTATAACCGTTTTTATTTATCAATTTAAAATTTTAACGGTTTTCAGAAAAATCAAGTTTTTCACGGTAGCATCCCGAATCAGTTTTCGCAAAATAAATATTTATTTATTCAGAAAATTTGCGAAAAATTGCGTACTCTGATTTCATTAAAAAGTCGGGGTGTTTCAATTGATATCAGAGCACGTTTCTGCGTCTCTGAAAAGTTTTTCAATCAGTAAATTTCAGAAAACCCTGAACCGTCACGCTCACGCCTCGCCGACTACAGGTAAGTGCTGATTAGTTTTCAGTTATAAACATATTACTTTGTCTATGCTCAGAAATCAGTAATCAGACTTAGTTAAGATGCTCGAATCAGGTTCAGACTTTAGAGTTCTGATATAACTCTAGAATTCAGTATATTCAGACCTGACTTTAGAGATCAGTACACTCAGATATGACTCTAGACTTTAGTATCTTTCGAGATGACTCTAGAGTTCTTCAGGATTCATGTCAGTATTTTTCGGCCACTTTTTGGCAACTCGTCAAGAGATCTGTGTGCCTTAGTCATCAGTCAGAATATTATCACGTAATCAATAATTTTAAAACTTTCTCAATGTTCAGATGTCGCCCCGTAGGGAACCCGATTATCCGACTCCTACTCAGGCCACAATAGTCGCACAGTTCCGCGACTATCATGCTGAGAAATTTTTCCGGGCAAGGAGATCCCCGTATCGTGGACGGGTGGATTCAGAATCTTAGAAAGGATTAAGTTTAAGAACTCTAGATTCAATTCTAGACTTATTCAAGTCAAGTTAGTAACTTGTCAGGAGATTTGTAAGCACTTGTGCTAAACAAATCTTAATAATCATGTTTCTCAGATATTTCTATTGAAAACTGCCATTTTGCCAATCAAAGTGGCAGACTTCAGGGAGAAATTCCTTGATTTAATTCGAGGA